AAACTTTTTGCGAGGATAAAGACGAAATAGATGGATTCTTGCAAGATTTTGAAAGATTGTGTGACTTGCATGATGTAGAGCAAGCTATGTGGGTACCTTTGTTGGCAGGCAAACTGTCTGGGCGTGCAGCAGATGCCTACCGGGCTGTACCCAGAGAGGACAGCAAGAATTATGACAAGGTAAAGCAGGCGCTATTAGAAAGGTATGCCATTACCCCAGAGGCATACCGGCGCAAGTTCCGAGAATTGAAAAAAGGGGACAAAGACTCACATGCGGAGTGGGCACACAAGCTTGACCAAGCCTCACAAGGCTGGATACAAGCCAGCAGAGCTACCACCATGGAAGAGTTACGCCAGATGTTGCTACTGGAGCAGTTTTGTAATGGCCTGGCACCAGAGGCTCAAGAATGGGTGAATGACCGAAATCCTCACACCCTAACCGAAGCGGCACGATTGGCCGACCAACATTATGATGCTAGGAGGCATCATAAAAATAATAACCGAGGGTATGCAAAACCCAACCCGCAACCATTTCCAGTTATTGCTCCTGCCCCAGCGACAGCACCATCCAGACCAGCACTTGTGGGACAACCTCCCCACTCCCGTTATAATGGCAGGTCCAACATCCAGTGCCATGCCTGTAAGCAATGGGGGCACATGGCCCGGGAGTTCACCCAAAACCGGAGCCGCAAGAACTGGAATCAGCTCCGGCAGAATATGGCCCCGCGGGCAGCTGCTCATTATCATGCAGAGCCAACTTTGCCAGGAGTGCCGCTTGAGTCGGCTGATGAACCCCTGGGCGTTTTGCACGATGTAATGTCCATCCATGCTACTGACAACCGACATCCACATTGCCAGACCGTGACTCTGGAAGGGAAAGAGGTACAGGGGCTACGTGATTCCGGTGCTACCTTAACTTTGGTTGCCCCGCATTTGGTGCCAGGATCAGCACATACCGGGGGATCGGTAGCAGTCCAGGTAGCAGGGGGTGCCATGTACCGGCTACCAACTGCCAAGGTACATCTGAATTGGGGTGCGGGGGAAGGTATGGTGGAGGTGGGGCTGATGCACAAGTTACCAGCTGATGTTGTTTTGGGGAATGACCTGGGGCAAATGACTTCCGCTTTTGTGCCCCAAAGTCCTCGCCATGAGGCATATCCAGTGACCACCCGTCAGCAGGCTCGCACCACGGCTTCATCTTCCACACACTCTGAGGCTCAGGTAAGAGACAATGTACCCCGTGTAACCCGTGTTTCCTGGGATACCCCGACTGACTTTGAGGCAGAGGTTAAAAACGATCCCACGTTGCAAATTTATAAGGATAAGGCGACAGCTGGTCAGACAGGTTTAGAGGGAGAACAGTATGTATGGGAGAAAAATCTGTTATATCGTGTTGCTGAGCGGGTGGTAGGGGGGTCTGTACATGTGACTAATAAGCAGCTTATAGTGCCCCAGAAATACCGGCAGGAACTGCTTAGAATTGCCCACGATATTCCGCTGTCTGGGCATTTAGGGATGACAAGAACGAGGTACAGATTGACACATGCATTTTTCTGGCCAGGTATATCTAGAGATGTGAGACAGTATTGTCAGACATGTGACATTTGTCAGAGAGTGGGAAAAAGGGGTGACCGCCACAAAGCAAAATTGTGCCCCCTTCCCATTATTGAAGAACCCTTTAGCAGAGTAGCAGTGGATATAGTAGGACCACTGTCCAAGCCTAGCCCTTCCGGCAAGCGGTATATTCTGACCATTGTAGATTATGCCACCCGGTACCCGGAGGCTATAGCCCTTTCCAATATACAAGCAGAAACGGTAGCCGAAGCTATGATGAAGATATTTTCCAGGATGGGATTTCCCCAAGAGATAATTTCGGATAGGGGGACCCAATTTACAGCCGAAGTGACCCACCAGCTATGGAAGTTATGTGGCATTAAGCCAATTGTAAATTCTGCCTATCACCCGCAGTCCAATGGGTTGTGTGAGCGCTTTAACGGTACCTTGAAGCAGATGCTCAGGACATTTGGGGAGTCCCATAAAGACTGGGAGAGGTTTTTACCCCATCTGCTTTTTGCGTACCGAGAAGTGCCACAGGAATCTACCGGCTTCTCTCCGTTTGAGTTATTGTTTGGGAGAAGGGTGAGGGGACCCCTAGACTTAATTAGAGAACATTGGGAGGGGGGGAGCAGTGCAGATGGAGTCCCCATTGTGCCATACGTGCTGGAGTTCCGGGACCGCTTGGAGGCTCTAACCCAAACCGTACGGGAGAACCTCCGGGCGGCTCAGCGGCGACAGCGCCGGTGGTACGATAGGGGAGCCAGAGACCGTAGCTTTCAGGTGGGACAGAAAGTTCTAATTTTGAAACCTGTCCGCACAGACAAGCTACAGGCCACCTGGCAGGGCCCATACCAAGTGGTAGAACAGAGATGTGACACCACTTATGTGATCGGCCCGTGCTCTGGGGTAGGGAAACGACGCATGCTCCATGTGAACATGCTCAAACCCTATAGAGGAGGTAGCAGCCATCTGTGCCCCAGCCACTGAGGATTATGAGAATCTGCCCTTGCCAGACATGTTAGAAAAGGAAGATTCTGCAGAAAACGCTACAGGTGTGCAGCTGGGGGAGCGGCTAAGTCTCCAGGAGCATGCCCAGGTACAGGAGTTGATTGCGGCAAAAGGTGCTACCTTCTCCAATTTACCAGGGTACACTCTGTTAGCTACCCACCGAGTAGAGACCCCAGGACAGCTCCCTATGAGACAGACTCCGTATCGTATCCCTGAAGCAGTAAGGGAGCACATGAGGAAAGAAATTGAGGAAATGTTGCAGTTTGGGGTTATCGAACATTCAGATAGCCCCTGGGCATCACCGGTAGTGCTAGTACCCAAGAAGGATGGCACCACGCGGTTTTGTGTAGACTACCGGAGGCTCAATGACAAAACAGTGTCTGACGCCTACCCGATGCCCCGTATAGACGAGCTGCTAGATAGGATGGCAAGAGGCCAGTATCTCACTACCATTGATCTGTGTAAGGGATACTGGCAGATTCCACTAGCCGAGGAGGCCATCCCCAAGTCGGCGTTTGTCACCCCGTTTGGCCTGTATCAATTTCGGGTCATGCCTTTCGGGATGAAAAACGCTCCGGCTACCTTTCAGAGGATGGTAGATCGGCTACTGGATGGGTTCCAAGAGTACGCCTGTGCGTACTTAGATGATATAGCCATTTATAGCCAGACCTGGGCAGATCATTTGAAACAGATTAGTGTGGTCATTGACCGTATTGGAGAGGCAGGGCTGACACTAAAACCTAGCAAGTGTCACATAGGGATGGCAGAGGTGCAGTACCTGGGTCACAGGGTAGGATGCGGACAGCAGAGGCCCGAACCGGCCAAGATAGAGGCAGTAGCTAAGTGGCCTACCCCCAGGACAAAGACACAAGTATTGGCGTTCCTTGGTACCGCTGGTTACTACAGAAAATTTGTGCCCAATTACAGCGCCCTGGCCAAACCCCTGACGGACTTGACCAAGAAAAACTTGCCACGACAGGTCAACTGGGCCCCAGAGTGTGAACAGGCATTCCATGAACTAAAAACTGCATTAACTAAGGCTCCTGTGTTAACTGCCCCTGATCCAACTAAACGATTTCTTGTTCACACAGACGCTTCCATGTTTGGATTGGGGGCAGTACTGAGCCAAGTGGGAGCTGATGGCGGAGAACATCCCGTAGCTTACTTAAGCAGAAAATTACTACCAAGGGAAGTAGGCTACGCCGCCATCGAAAAGGAATGCCTGGCTGTGGTGTGGGCCCTCAAAAAGTTACAACCTTATTTGTATGGACAATCATTCTCCTTGCTCACAGATCACAACCCGTTGGTGTGGCTACACAGGGTGTCAGGAGACAATGCCCGGCTGTTGCGCTGGAGTTTGGCGCTGCAGCCGTTTGATTTCACGATCCATTATCGCCCTGGAAAACAGAATGGTAACGCCGATGGGTTGTCCAGACAGACAGAACTTGAGAAATGATCTGTGAGCACTCCCCTGGACATCCCCAAGCCGATCCGTTGGGATCAGACTGTGTATGCCGGCTTGGTTTTGGGGGAGCATTGTGGCAAACCTAGCCACTTGGGACTGCCTAAGATAGAAAGGTTGTGCCTATTTTCTGTTGTGTACTGCGCGCCGGTATAGTGTGGCGTCTCCGGCTATGTTTAATTTATGCTGTACTGTGTATGTCTGTTCGAATCCTCCCCATTCGTTAGCATTGCTATTAAAACTGACTAAGTTGTATATTTTGAAGTAGAAAGGTAACGGTTTATGTCCTCGTAGTTTTCATTACTGTATGTTACAGCAGGGGCTGTTGGGAGGAGGACCTGGAAACGGTAGTCTCCCTCCAGTCCCCTCAACCAAAACCCCTGCTGCCCATCTTTGGAAACCCCTGTTGAGTGACCTGCTTTAAATATCAGTTATTTTTAATAAAGTGACAGTTGAGTGACCTGCTTTAAATATCAGTCTTTTTGAATAAAGTGGCAGTTGACTCTCAGACTGTGTTTCGTCTGGTTCTTGGGAGGATTTGGGAATATTGCCTGCTTCCAGCTTTGTACTTGGTTATTGCATTCTACCAGCAGAGATCCTGGGATTATAAAATTGCAGCTCCGCAACACAATGCCTTCAAAGAGTTCAAGGAAGCAGAAGGCAGCATCGATGACTTTTTACAAGATGTTGAGCACCAGTGCCTACTCCAAGACGTGGACCCCAGTGACTGGGTCACCATCCTGGCCAGCAAACTAGTGGGGAAGGCAGCAGATATTTACCGGGCTGTACCAGAAGAGCAGATAAGAGACTATCCCTTTTTAACCAAATCCTCCTGGCCCGGTTTGCGGTCACCCCCGAACAATACTGCCAAAAGTTTAGGGAGACCCGGAAAGGGGAGAAGGACTCCCATGCGGAGTGGGTATGTTGCATCACAAAGACCCCCCAGAACTGGCTCAACTCCCATCAAGCCAAGTTCCCGGAGGAGATCACCCAGCTAGTCACGCTAGAGCACTTTTGCAATGGGCTCCCCAACGACAAGGCGACAACGCATTTGTATGTCATCCATATCAATGTTCGATGCCACTTACTGCGCCTACCATGGTGACCACGGGTAACGGGGAATCAGGGTTTGATTCCTGAGAGGGAGCCTGAGAAACGGCTACCACATGCAAGGAAGGCAGCGGGCACACAAATGACCCACTCCCGACGCGGGAAGGTAGTGACGACAAATAACAATACAGGACTCTTTAGAGGCCCTGTAATTGTAATGAGTCCACTTGAAATCCTTTAACTCTGATCAATTCGAGGGGAAGTCTGGTGCAGAGCGACTGACCTGTGCGTGCTGCAGCTGAAACTCCACTATCGCCTGCTGCTGCTTGCACAGTCTCTCCAGCATGTGCAAGGTGGAGTTCCATCTTGTGGGCACGTCGCATATGAGGCAGTGAGCGGGAAGGCCAAAGTTACGCTGCAGTGCAGACAGGCGAGCAGCAGCAGGGTGAGAACGCCAAAAGCGTGCACAGCCGCTACAGTGAATGTCACATCCTGTTCCAAGTTGCGGATCAGTCTGGTGATGGCTTCTGGTATCCAGTACTCTTTTTACTGAAGCTGCATCAGGGTCCTGGTATGTGGCCGCACAAACGCTGGTGCTCAACACCAGGGGGTATGCGGTTACCCTGCACCAGACCCTGCTAATCCATTCCACACTGTGACTCCTAAATTCAACATCAGTCCCAGTCGTCCAACCGCCGCCCAGACAGTGTCTGGGTCACAGTCACCGGACTGGGAAACTGCAAATGGCTTGTTAAATCTGTTATGGTTCTTTTTATCGCTTCAACTGTTACTTGGATAACTGTGGGAATTCTAAAGATAATACATGCTGACGAGCGCTAGGGGATGGCCGCTCCGCTTTTGCACCCTGCTCCCTCTTATGCTGTGCCTCTGTGCGACCAGCGCCTCTTCCTCCAGACTGCATACGTCACTCGCATGACCTTGATTCCATGTGGAGTCTAGGAGCTCCTCATCCTCCACATCATCTTCCACCCACTCCTCAACCCTGCCCTCCTTGACGGTCTGAACACTGCAGAAAGCCACAGTAGTTGGCACCTGTGTTTTTCCAGCATGTAAAGTCTGCAAAGGACATATGGAAATTGTTTTAGAATCGTATCGAGGCAACAGTTTTCCCTATAAACTGACCTCTCAGTTTGACTTGTGAGGATATTGCCCCTGAATTACAATATTGTTATATTGGCATTTGACTGTCAGATATGAAGTTCAGGCCGCAAATGTACTATTTAGCACCCGAAAAAAATTAAACTGGTCAAACTGCGCTCTAACCACAGTATTTGACTGTTCTATTTGACTGTCAGGTATGAATTGCACACCCCAAATTTACTTTTTATCACCCAAAACAATTAGAATTTGTCAAAGTGAGCTGAAAGCACAGTATTTGACGGTCCTATTTGACTCTCAAATATGAAGTGCACCGCAGGCCGGAAATGTACTATTTAGCAGCCCAAAAAACTGAATGTTTAAACCTGCTATGTCACAGCACTATTTGATGCTTCTGTTTGACTCTCAGATCTGAAGAGCACGCCCCAAATTTACTATTAGGCAGATTAGCAGCCAGAAAATAAGAATGTTTACAATTGCGTTGTAAGCGCAGTATTTGACGCTTCTATTTGATTCTCAGATATGAAGAGCACCCCACTAATGTACTTTTTAGCACCCCAAAAAATTTTACGTTTTAAAACTGCAATGTCACAGCAGTATTTGACGCTTCTGTTTGACTCTCAGATATGAAGAGCACGCCCCAAATTTACTATTAGGCAGATTAGCACCCAGAAAATAAGAATGTTTACAATTGCGTTGTAAGCGCAGTAATTGACGCTTCTATTTGACTCTCAGATATGAAGTGCAGGCATCAAATTGACTTTTTAGCACCTAAAGAATTAGAATTTTTACAATCAGCACACAATCAGCGGCACCCATGCCTGACATCAATCTGCACTTCCTGACACTCTTCTTCTGAAGCCAAATACCACTGAGCGACCTGGAGCTGGAGGAAGCCTTTGGGGTTAAACCATTTGAGAGCGATTTAACCCCTTAAAGGAAAGCGAGCACCCAGGTGCTTCCTGGCATCATAGCATTTTCATTTAGGTGAAGTTGTTATGGTGACCAGAATGGTCCTTTAATTTGCTTAAAGGAACACTATAGTGTCAGGAATACAAACATATATTCCTGACACCATAGTTGTGAAAACGCTATTCACCCTGGCTTTATGTGATAATGGCTATGCCCCTTCCCTTTCATGACACTGTCAAAAAGGTACCAAGCATGGATGTCATTACAATTATGTCCCCCCCGGAAAAATTCCTGCGGACGCCCATGCTCTGAAGTGCACTGCAGGCTGCAAATCTACTATTTAGCAGCCAAAAAATTTGAATGTTTAAAAATGCTATGTCACAGCACTATTGGAGGGTTCTATTTGACTCTCAGATAGTAAGAGCACTCCCCAAATTTACTATTAAGCAGATTAGCACCCAGAAAATAAGAATGTAAAATTGCGCTGTAACCGCACTATTTGACACTTCTATTTGACTCTCAGATATGAAGGGCATGGCCCAAATTTACTATTTAGCAGATTAGCACCCAGAAGCACTGCCTCTAATCTGAAGGAAAAAAATAAAATTTTTACTTACCATAAATTTATTTTTTCCAGAATAAACTGGGATTTCATCACCTGGAGGGAAAAAACAGGCAGGCAATCTCCCAAACTTTTCAAGAACCTCCCCCAACTAACCTTTGGCCTTATAAATTGCTTCCTACCCAAGACATCCCCAGAAATTACAAAAGCCGAATAACCGCACCACTCAGACTATGAACAACTTGGGGGTGGGGGCGGGGGGGTGTTGTATTATAGCTGTCCTTCTGGGCTGTGGAAATGATCCCGTCGCTTGCCACCAATTGTAACGGACCGTTTTGCCCAAAAGAGGTTAAAAACCGTTTAGGCGATATTCCCCTTTTTCAGCTGCACCGACAGCTACTCCAAGCACCAATCTCCTGAACTGCAAACCCACAAATTCACTAACTCCCGAACTGCAACCAAGGGAATACTCGAAACTCCCGAACTGCATACCAAAGGAATACTCGAAACTCCCGAACTGCATACCAAGGGAATACTCGAAACTCCCGAACTGCATACCAAGGGAATACTCGAAACTCCCGAACTGGAGACACACGAATAGCTGCTAGCAGACGAACAGGAAAAGCCCCCAAGCAGCTTCCACTCCTGGCAATCAGTCTCTAACAGCATACAGTAAATCCTCCCCCAATAATGAGATGACACTTCACTTTGAGGGTTAAGCAGGAACTCATTTACTGGGGCTAACTGCCCGGCTTTTATGCACCTGGTGGACATTCCCCTAGGGGACCAAATGGGAGACTGGGACACAAAGGGTAAAAGGACCAATCACAGACTTACACATTTCAACCATCCCACAATGCATCACAATCCCTCTGCCATGGAGATAATTTGGGAAGTAATTCAATTATCTCCAAAGACAGTGGCAAAACTCCATTAACCACATGGCAGAAAACAAACAGTAAAAGACATAAAATTACCTACAGTTACATTCAGTACATAAAACATATATGTTCTACATATCCCCAGATAGCTCAGATCTGAGCGCACATTATTAAGCGAATGGCGCTCAGACCACACGAATACAGTTTTATCGCCATGGAGCCAAAGTCTTTACACAGTCAGTTTCATGCGAATGGGCTCCATGGGATTCCTATCTGGGGCATAACACACTCAAACAAAACTACTGAACACCGGGCTGTTCGTGCACTTTCACCGACCAAGAAGGAAGGTTGGCGGCTTCAGCGGTGTTCGCGCAAAACTGTGTCCGATTTCAGTTCCGTGAATTAAGCGTCGAACACCGCTGTGCATTCGCATGTTTAAAATGGCCGCGACCTTGTGTTCGTGATACGAATGGCGGCCACCCAGCATTCGTCAATTAAGCTGCGGTTAACCGCAGCTTCAGGGACGTGGTTGAATCTACCGAACACCCGGCAGAAAAGCACGAATAAGTCTTTTCTGCAGGGAAAAAGGATGTCTTTTAACATGGGGCCATAGTCCAAAGGCAGCAGGCGAGCAACCAAGCTTCTCCAGTGTACAGTGGCGAGGTTGGTTTTGCCACAATTGAGATGAATTAAAGAATCCAACTTAACTCCACTTTCTCCTGCTGAAAATGGAAACTATTCCAAAAAAAATATTTTGTTCCACTACCCCCAAAGACCTAGAGTGAAGACTCAAATCACCAGAGTAAAAAAACCCACAAGAAGATCCCCTGCAGAAAAGATTCCTTGAAGATAGGAACTAACCACGAAAGAGCCTAGCAGATACTGGTGATTTGGAGACAAACCTCTGAAAATCAATGATAACCGAAATTTGACCTTGAGGATCTCTGGCTTAAAACCATCCGCAAAGCCCACCCAAAGAAAAAGAAAAAGAGGTTAAAACTTGGAAGCGGATGCCTGCTTTTCTATGAACCAATATCTTAAAAAAAAAAAACAACACCTTCCATTCTTGGAATAAATCTTGGAACAAGATCCATTTATAGTAAAAGAAATCGTCAATAATTTCCTGAGACAAAACATTATCCTTCAGTATCTGGTATACATAAACCAGGTCAGCAGCTTGAATTACAACAAATTTGAGAAGCGGTACCCTTGAGAATTCCAGGATGCCTATTTACAGGTAAGGTCCCCAAAAGATTCCTCCGGATAATTTTTGATGAACGGTGAAACAGATACTTGCCACCAAGGGAGGAAGATGATCATTCTCACCTTTTCCATCCTATAGGGGAATGGGGAACCAGGAGGAAACTATAGGTTAGACTGGAATTCCCAAGAAAGAAAAGGAAACCAAAGCTTACTGGTCTGTCCAAGCTTCTCCAATGAAACACTTCATGCTATCTGTTTGATCTAGAAGTCCCAGTTCCATAACTGGATAATCAAATTCTTCCTATAGTTTGGGTGAAGATCAGGGAGTATGAACCAATCTGCTTTGTATTAAATGTTGACTACTCAATGCTACAGCTAAACAGAGGAATATTAAGTTATATGCATAAGTGAATAGACCTAAGAAAAACTAACCCAAGCATATCCTGGAACAAGATTTTTCATTTCAAGATGACCAATGTTTGTACATAATTGCTACTGA